ATGGCATGGTTTATACTGGTTTGACGTGGATAAGTAAGCACCTGAAGATGGCATTATTATGCCGAAACATGTAGTGCGAGGGAGAGAAGGAGATAAATGAGTGTATGCACTGCAAGACGGATTAAATAAATCATGAAAATACTATGAATTGAATGGCATAAATGTATCCACTCCAAACAGTCCCTATTTAACAAGTTATAAATTTCAGGTATGTATGTATGCAAGGGGTGGGCCATAAAAACCGGCCCCCACACTGCAACCTTCAATGATCTATTGTGCCTCTCCTTGGATTAGCCCTTTACTAATCCTACACTTTTAATAAAGTGTAGGACCCTGCTTATGGGGGTGTCATAAAAGTCACTTGGTTCCATAAAATACTGACCCAAGTGACAAAATCTTAAATAAGCTATGGCCTCACAATCGCACAGGATGTGTGTGTCTGATCCGCTTTCTTGTAGGCACCTTTCACAAGTTGGGTTATCTGTCAGTCCCAACTTGAAAAGGTGTCCGGTAAGCAACCCTACCACCCATCTTAGTTGATCTCTATTTCATCTCAACAGATCCTTTGTTCTTCTGGCAGAGGGTCCTGCTATAAAACCCTTTGCCTCTTTGAGTCCAGTTGTGGATTCCCAGTACTTTTTATAAATTTCAATAAAGTCCCCATTTAAAGATCACAACCTAGGCAAGCAGAAATGAGCACTCTTCACCCATGACATGGTTGCTTTCCTTGTCAATAACACAATACACAGCACCTTGAACTAGAAGATTAAATTCTGATCATGTAATTAAAATGGACTGTAAATAAGGATTCAAACTATATCCAAAAGCTCTACTGCAATACTTGCACATTACTTTAACAGCTGTGGCTATCTTATATACTGGCAAGAGCATGGACTAGATTTCATAGTATCTTCAGATGCACTCCATTAGGTACACAGTGGGAACTGAACAATTACATTCTTATGTGTATTTGAAATGACATACATGAACTAACTAATGTTACAGCCACTGCAAAGTCCAAGTCTGACTCCTTGCAACAGTGCTTCAAACATATTTATTGTGTGTCATGTGCTCAACTCATCTGCTCTTCCAATAAATTCTCCTGGGGTAAATAGAGCCAGAGTGTGAAGTTGACCTTTATAGGACAGTGGCTCGACAAGACACAGCACTTCAGACTTGATGGTGCTCTATACTGGAACTAGTGTGACAGTGCACACAAACACTGTACTTCTGCTTGCTTCAAATAAAGGTACAGTATCTTACCTGCTTTCTTCCAACAGGTGAAAACAACTGAAGACCGAGCATGGTTCTGGATCATGAACGAAGTAATGGTAGCTATACTGTCATTAATAGCTGCAGCATGAGACCTATTCAAGTGGAATACCAACACCAGCTGCACTATTATACATAAGTGCCTTGTTGCTGCACAAAATTGCATTAGAACAAACCTGTATTCAAAATGAACCTCACATCATTCAACAACCTCATTATGTCTATTTCACCATTATATACACATTTTTGCAATGGAGTTAAAACACCTCTGATGACATATGCATGATGTCTAAATATTATTAATGTAATTCAGAAATGATCAAATTCCTTCCAAAATTTTATTAGAATGATCAAATCATCAAGGAAGAGAGAGGCAGGGCATTTAGCATATATGAGACAGAAGTTTGTACACGAACTCTGGGTAGGAAAACCTGAAGAGAAGATTAGAAAGACCCAGGCCCAGAAGTGGATGAGAGAATAATATTAAAATTGAACTTAAAAAGTAAAAATAATGGGAGAATGTGGACCATTGGCAGGCTCTTGTAAAGAAGTAATGAATGTTAGAGTTGCATATAATGCTGGAAATGTCTTAAGCACTTGGGGAACAGTTGGTTTCTCAAGGATTTGGCTTCATAGACTTAGGATGAAATGGACATCACACATACATATGGACGTGAGGAGATATGCATACAACATTTTAATTTGAAAAACTGAAGGTAAATACCATTCTGGAGACCTGGGAATAGACAAGATGATGGATGATGATGATAATAATAATAATAGTCTTATAATAAACAGGGAATGAGAGCCTGTGCTGGACTGAACTGGCTCAGTGACAGTTACCTCTGTGCTAATTTGTTTACATAAGCAATCATGTTACTTATCATGATGAACTCTGCTAAATACAAGGAGTTCTGTAAGAGCACTGACACTGCAGACAGGTCTCTACTGTATGAATATTTACATCACTGTCTTGTACTCGTCTCCAAGTATAATTAGAATGATCAAGTCAAGGAGGATGAGGTGGGCAGGTCATGTGGCACGAATGGGAGAGACAAGGAATGCGTATAGGATATTGGTGGGAAAGCCAGAAGGAAAGAAACCACAAGGAAGATGAAGGCGTAGGTGGGTGGACAATATTAAAATGGATCTTAGAGAGATAGGATGGGATGGTATGGATTGGATAGATCTGGCTCAGGATAGGGACCAGTGGAGGGCTCTTATGAACACGGTAATGACCCTTCGGGTTACATAAAATGCTGGGAAATTCTTGAGTAGCTGCAGAATTGGCGGCTCCGCAAGAAGGGCTCAGCTCCATGAGTAAGTAAGTATATACTCACATCAGGCAGATGCAGCACTGAAACTGCTGTGTGGTGTATGCAAGTGTAGAATCCATTCTGTGAGAAATACTCTATTCCAAATACAGTAAAATAAAAAAAAGAGAGACCCATGTGAACTTTCATGGCAAGTATTAACAGAAAATAAATAATTCTGATGTTTAAAACATATCAGTAATGGAAGAAAGTGCTCAATTTATAACCTGTCTATGGAAACTTGGACGAATGTACACAACTTGACTGCAACTTTTATAATGAATGAAGAACAAACATAATAAAATGCCAATGATACCCATTATACAAATAATAAAAGAACTGTGATCCTCTACAGACAAAAGTGAAACATGAATGCTAAATTTCACATCTGTTATCCAAGTGTCAGTTCTTAACTAACTCCATGGAGCAGAGTCCTTCAAAAGCTGACAGTTGCTCAGCTATCCAAGAGAAGCCTCACTTCACTTGGAACCCAAAAACTCATTAGCGTGTTCACAAACACGTTACCCTGGTTCCTACACTCAGCCACATAAATTCAATTAAGCCTAATATTATTTTTAAAACTACTTTTAAGTTGAAGAAAGCAGTCTTCTGGGATTTGGCACCGTGTATATGTGGTGTTAACCGACGTTTCGGAGGAACGTATCGCCCCCATCTTCAGGGTTGAAGAAAAAGTATAAGTAAATCTGCAAGCGACTACTTTTAAGTTTCCTACCTAAAAGTTGTATTTCTAAGACTTTTCATGCATGTTACATTTTCCTAGCATCTTATGGAACCTGCAGGTACATCACCATGTTCACAACAGTCCTCCAATGGTCCCTATCCTAAGCCAGATCAATCCAGTTCATACCACCCCATCCTATATTTCTAAGATCCATTTTAATATTATCCACCATCCTACAAAATGCACTTTATAGTGGTCTCTATCCTTCTGGCTTTCCAATCAATATATTATATGCATTCTTCTTTGCCCAATTTGTGCTACATGCCTTGCCATCTCATCCTCCTTGACTTGACCATTCCAATTATACTTGGAGAAGAGTACAAGTTATGAAGCTCCTCATTATGCAGTTTTCTCCAACCTCCTGTCACTTCATCTCTTCGGTCCAAATATTCTCCTCAACACCCTGTTCTTAAACACCCTCAGTCTATGTTACCCCCTTAATGTCAGACACCAAGTTTCACACCTATACAGAACCACAGGCAAGATTATAGTTCTGTGTATTCTCTTTTTTTTATATTTCTAGACAGCAGACGAGAAGACAAAGGGTTCTGGACTGAATGGTAGCAACCATTACCTGAATTCAATCTCCTCTTAATTTCCTCCTGAATCAAATTCTGATTTGTTACTGTTGTTCCCAAATACTAGAACTGTGCCACATTTTCAAAACATGTTTCCGATCTTTATGTCATGATTTTGCCCTGCATTTTGGTGACGAGACAGTAACATATACTTATGTAAGATTTGAGGCTTTCACGGCAGTGACTATGAAGAAAGCAGTCTTCTGGGATTTGGCACCGTGTATATGTGGTGTTAACCGACGTTTCTCCGAAACGTCGGTTAACACCACATATACACGGTGCCAAATCCCAGAAGACTGCTTTCTTCAACATATACTTAGTTTTATCTGTGTTTCCTTCTAGACCAACCTTCTTACTTGCGTCAATTAAAGTTTGTGTGTTTCTCTTTATGGTATTTATATTATCACCCAGTAGATTCACATCATCGGCATAGACCAACAGCTGGTGTGTCCCGTTTAATCTCAGTCCCACCTGGTTTCCCTGGACCCTCCTAATGGCATATTCCAAAGCAANGATTATAGTTCTGTGTATTCTCTTTTTTTTATATTTCTAGACAGCAGACGAGAAGACAAAGGGTTCTGGACTGAATGGTAGCANAGCAATATAGCATCTCCTCTTTTAGCCCATTCTGGATAGGAAAATTAACAGCAAAATTTCACAGACTTCACTATGTTTTGTTCAAACACATTTTAATNTACTGTTGTTCCCAAATACTAGAACTGTGCCACATTTTCAAAACATGTTTCCGATCTTTATGTCATGATTTTGCCCTGCATTTTGGTGACGNGTACAGTATTCATTTCTAACTGAATCATAGGCTTTCCTGAAGTTTATGAATAGCTGATGTACTGTCTCATTGTACTTCCATTTTTTTCTCCTATCTGATGAAGGTAAAAGATCTGATCAGTAGTTCATCTGTTGTATCAAAACCGACACTGATGATCCCCAGTAATTTCATCTGTATATGGACTTAACCTTGAGAGAAGGATATTGGATACAATTTTGTATGACGATGACAGCAGTGATACCCCCCGATAATTACTAGTCAGTTTTAGTGCCCTTCTTGTGAACTGATACAATAATAGACTCCTTCCAATGACAAAGGAGTGGGGGGAGGGGGGGTTTGAAGCTGACCACTCACTCCCAACTAGTGCCAAGGTCAAGAAAATATGGAACTATACCTCCACTTCCCCATATGCCTTCATGGTGTAGTGCTTAATTAGTCAGGCACAGGGATAACTTTACCCTTCCCTTTTTTTTACTTTTTATGGATCTCTTTACTCGTCCCATACTGATATTAATTCATGAATGTTTCAGATTTTTTATACGCACTGATCATATTTCTCACACAGACTGTTTGGTAAGGTGGTTTCGAAATTTCATGTGATATCCCACTTTTTATGATTTACTGGGGGATAATTTTATTGGAGCATTCACATACAGAAGTTGCAGAGATCTAGATATTTTCTTCGCTATCCTGTCTACCTGCCCACATACTGAAACCCCCGAACCACTGAATAATTTTATTACAATTAGTTTTTAAATTCCAGCTTTAGCCTTAAAAAAATGGTCACTATACAATAATCTACAACTATTTCTGCACACCTCACTAAATACTGTAACAAAAAATGTTTCAAGTCGTTGAGAAAAATTAAACCTTATTTTCCACGTTTTTAAATTAAATAAAAGGAACAGACATGCCAGAATAATGTGACATGTATTTTTCTGATTATACCCCTCAGTACAGTGAAATATTTTTTCTCATGAACAGACGACACTCAAGGTGAGTTTCTTTGAAGTTCAGCAAAATGAATTGTTAAAACAACTATTTTACTTATGTTACTAGAGTTTCCTCTAAAAAGGAACAATTCATTCCAAAGACAGACAATGACCAGTATATATGTCAATTCATAACAGCTATAATAAATACTTAAAAGACTAAAGGTCAGTTTACAAGGCACTAGAGACCACAAAGGTTGGATAATTTATGAGCCATCACAACCCATGACATCTTTGACAAAAGCAAATAACTGTGTCACTGTTCATCATCTTAGAAAAGACAAGTAATGAGAAATGATAAAATTATAGAATAAATGATAACTGTTCCTACATGAATAATTTAAAATAATCTATATATATATATATATATATGATACTTACAAATGAGATAGTTGTATCCCATCATTTATGTACAATAATCCTTTGGTGAACATGAGGTTAATTTTTTTATTTACCATGATCAATTACATTCTTTACATTACTTGCTCAGGACTGCACCTGCCTGTCTGGAGTTCCAGCCCTAGGAGGGGGGGGGCATGAAAACACCAATATAATTGTAAAACTATCTTCCTTGGAAATATGTCCCTGTAGAACCATAGAGAGTTAAACCACTGTTTAGGGGGGGGGGCAGTCCTTGATGGAACATTTCACATGTCTTGCCATATTCAATATAACACCATGAAATGTAACCAGCTCTTTGGTTGTAACATCTTCCCACCTAACCCAAACCAAACATTTTTCCATAAACAAGGCTACATTTATTTTTTTCACATACATATCTATTGGTCTTAACAGCTATTTCTTCAAACAAAATTGCATTACAAATCAGAAAAAGCTCGTGAAGAAACAAGCATTTGTCCATTTCAAGGAGGGTTATAACCAGCTGATGCACAAAATGTTATCTTAGGGCAGCGACTGACTTGTAACATTTGCCTGTAATGTAACGTGTTACAAATCGAGCATTATACAAGCGAAGACAGGGAACGGAGCTGCTCGCGGGTGCTCCATCGTGTTGTATGTTTTTTCACGAATCCCTCCGAGTATTATAGCAAGTGTCACGTAACTTCGAACAAGGCCAAGAATAACCTTGAATGCGCAGAAGAAAACTTTCAGACAAGGGGGTGGAGGGTGTGAGAAGTGACAGGCAGCCAGTGGAAGAACGAGTGTTAAGAAACTCCTCCCACCAGAACCTACTCGCGGGATTTGACTAGGAATGCTGGCCTTGTTCGAAGTTACATAACACTGTCTATACATTACAAGTCAGGCAGTCAGTTGAGCAGTGTCATAATGAGCATTCATGTCCGACATGTTGAGCACCATTTGTGTGTATTGACAGTCGTTTTGTTCTGGCGGAAGAGGTTGTTCTGATAATGCAGTGGGAACGGGGAAAAACTTTATTGTATTAAAAGGAATGCAGATAACACAACCTCCATGTCTGACATATTGAATGAAATGAAGTGGAGCACACAAGAGCACAGTCAAGCCGAGCGTTCAAAACGAGCATTCGATGCACCTCACCAGTTGTGGTGTAACGTAACATGCTAGCCACGAATGTTACATTACAGGCAAATGTTACAAGTAAGTCACCACCCTTATAGAAATCATGGTCATTTTCGTCCCAGAGAGCACAGCCTTCATTATCATTGCTGTCACCTCCACCACGATCACCACCTATGTTTGCAGTTGCCTGATCATCATCACAATTACCACCATCACTCTGACCAGACCTATTTACTTCAGCATCAGGGTCACTAAGCTCAGTTATATCAATTTCTGAATCCTAACTAATTTCACTGAAAGAGCCCAAGTCATCATGCAGTTGTTCACAAATCTGTTTACTGTCCAACGCATGCTCACTGGTAGATGCCACTGGGATTCAACTACCAAGAAAAAATGTGCAGACACTCACAAAATCTGTTATGTTTTGTTAACAGCTCATTGGAGGTTACTTTGCAAATAGCCCTTGTAATTCTGACTTCCCATCAACTCGAGCTTCTTCACAAAGCATTGAACAGTTGCATATTAACTTTATGCCTGTTTATTATAGAAGGAAGATTTCATGTACTCTTGTTAAGTGTTAAATTTATAATTCCTTCTGCTGAATGCACCTGTTGAGTGTACACTGTATACTTTTACAGTATTGTTTTGCATCATAAAACAGGCTGAGTTCAGGTGATTAAAAACTTGAGCTGGTCATCGCAGCTTATAAATTAATAAAACTCTGAACTTAATCCAGTATTTCTTCCAATCAATGGTGCCACCTGAAACAAAAACAGTGGCTCCAATTATCAAAATTCATCATTAAAGCAATATTTTTATAACACTGTGACATGACACCTGAAAGTCAAATACCGAAGCCAGAGCAGACACTCATTGCTAGGCAACGGCTCAGTAAAAAAAAAAGAGAGAGAGATGTGTGCAGATCAGCAGTATCACTGTAATTATGTGTAGTTCTGTGAGGTATGTACAAGTGGTCTATAAATCCAATATCCAATCTATACCCCATCTACAATCATACATGACAACAGAATGTGGTGGAACTGAAGCACACAAATTGGCCAACGCATCATACAACTAGGATTTCAGAGCAATGATAAGAATGGGCACAAAGTGTGATGAGATTCGCTTAGTGGGGGGTGGAGTCCAACTGGGTCCACTCGGCACGGTGGCCACTGATTGGCCTATTGTAGCCTACCCCAGGTGATTATGATGATGGAGAATTTGGTGGAATGAAGATTGGCAGGGGAAACCGAAGTACTTGGAGAAAACTCGCCCCAGCACCACTTTCTCCACCACAGATCCCACTTGACCACCTGGGATCAAACACGAGCCGCCTCAGTGGGAAGCCAGCGACTAACCGCTTGAGCTATGGCGTGCCTGAGTGATGAGATTATGGTCAGAAACAAAAATCTCCACATTCTGAGCAAAGTCATATTCACAGCTTCTGTGGTATTTTCATGCAAACATTTAGGCAGTATAAAGGGTAAACTCTTGGGACTGTAGAATCATATCTCTGTGTGTACAACTACATCGCAACACAATGCCAAAAACTTCCCCTCACTTGTTATGATTGAGAATAAACGCCGAGTAACTGCAACTGCACTTTCAACATGCAACAACATCTCACAGATGAAATATTTGCATTCTAATCAACACCAAGTATGAGAACACTGGCCAGATGCAACAGAACTTATGGCTTTAGCACGAAATAAAAACATACACAATGTGCTTTGGCTAGATTACACTTTGTTCCTGTAGGACTATTTATTAGAATCAATAGTTTTGCAGGCATTTGATTCCTAAGCACAGCATTTGGCTTATATTATTCTGATGTGAAATAATCCCGCCTTTGTTGCAGCTAATGGATAAACTGCATACAAATAAACTGTTCTTTTAAGATCACCATCAAAATTATGTGAACATGCTTTGTTGATGTCAGTTTAGTCTTGTGTTGTTACAACATGTGAATGTGGGTGATGTTGCCAAAATTTCATACGTACATGCTATTTCCATCTTCAGGATTAAAGTGTGTAGGCTGGTGAGTTTCAGTGTATGTATATATATATAGCATTGTTTTGAAAAGAAACAGGGAAAGGTGGGGACACAGAGTGGAAATTGCTGCCTTGCCGTATGTTTTCTTCACAATAAAGCAATTATTCAATACAAATCTGCTAAACCAAATCAGTCAGTCAAACATTTGGCCTAAGAGTTTTCATATGTTTGCAGGAGCAGAAAAGGCCAAATGTTAAGCCAAATAAGTCTGTTTTGAATTATGGCGACATTCCTTCCCACATGGTGCTTTCAGTAAAGTGATTCTGACAGATTTACCAATAACAGCAATGGTACATCTCCAAGTACTATAGGGCTGGTGGCTGGATTTTATTTCAGGGCAGACAATATTACACCTTAACACTTCGCGGACTGGACGCCTAGACCTAGACGTTTGGGTTTTAAACGTGGCAGACCGGTCGCCTAGATTTAGGCTTTTAGGACACGTTATGTTGCAACACACTATTCCTCGCTTTGGTGGCCACGTGTCTGTAAAAGTACTGCGTAGCTGACCTTTGGAATGTTTGTTTTCCGAGTCAGCAACGTGACCACTCTCTATTCCCCTCTCACTCTAAAGCAAAGTCCCTTTGTTCAAGTCGAAGCTTCTATGTGTGAGGCAAGATATTCTCAGTGTCAACATGGCTCAGAGACGAAAGCAGTTGAAGGCCGCGCGAGCTCTCGGAGAAGAAGAAATCTGTGATTTGATCTCTGATGAGTTATCTGACTTGCCAACTGTTTCGTCTTCTGATAGCGAGGGCAGTGTCAGTGGCAGTGACAGGGGCCCCCAAAATACTGTGACCAGAAGAGAAAGTGAAAGTGACAGTGAGAGCTCCGATGAAAGTGCGAGTGCTAGCATAGCGGGGACAGCCACATGGGGTAAAGTGGACAAAACACCCACTTTGGGAAAGTTTACTGGTGATCCAGGGGTGAGATAAATGCCATCAGACCCTATGCAAGTGTCTGAAGTAGCTGAACCGTTTTTTAGACTCCTTGGAAGGGAAGGCTTCATTTTCGAACGTATAATCCTGGGAAACTCACAAAGTATGGCCTACTTGTTCATGTAGTCACGGAAAGCACTTCAGGCTATATTGGAAATTTAGAAATTTATTCCGGTGAAGGCAAGAAATTGCAAGAAACTATTGTTTCCATTTTGGATCCCTATCTGGATCAAAATTATCACGTTTATCAAGATAATTTTTATAACAGTGTGGCAACTGCAGAATACCTACTTTCAAGGAAAGTACGTATTTGTGGTACAATTAGGGTGAACAGAGGCCTTCCTCCAGATCTGAAAGAGGAATGTAAATCCCTGAAACGTGGTGACACCACATTCAGGAGGAAGGGGGACATTCTTCTTCAGTCCTGGAGGGATACTCGCGTTGTGAATATGATTTCCACTATTCACAATTCGAGCATGGTCGATGTTCAAAGATGACATGGGCAAGTGAAGAAGAAGCCTCTTTGTATTTCTCAGTACAATATGTTCATGAAGGGAGTTGATAGAGCCGACCAATACTTGGCCTATTATTCCCTTCCTAGGAAAACAGTAAAATGGATGAAGAAAGTTGCCTTGTGGCTTATAAATTGTGCCCTTTTCAATTCATTTTTGGTTTTCAAAGAGCTAAATGAAAATTCAACTTTGAAATACAAGGCATTTCTCATGAATGTGGCAAAAGCCTGGGCTACAGACCTCATGGTGGCGGCAGAACCTGCATCAGACACAGACGTAGTATGACCAGGACCGTCTACTCCCACCCCACGGAGGCCTCATATGGACCCCTGGGTAACTCGCGGGTGCGGAAACATACCCTCGTGAAAATTGTGATGAGCGAAAAATCGATGGGGAAGTATCCTTCTAGGCAGTGCCGTGTGTGCGCTGTGCACAAGAAGCGAAGCAAGACTTCCTATGTCTGCAAGTTCTGCGTCATGCCTCTCCACAGGGGGGAATGTTTCCAGAAATATCACACTCTGAAGCACTTCTAGGAGCTCTGGTAAGTCTTCTCCAAAAATGTTAGTTCATAAAATTAATTAGGAGATTTTATATTAATTTTTAAAGTGAACAGTGCACAAGTTAGGGTAGTAGGTTTAAAAACGCCGGTCCCCAGGGTGATTTAAATATTTAAATCACCGGTCCACGAAGTGTTAAAAAATGCAATACCCAGCAAACTGGAGAGCAAACATGCAAGGGTACAATAGTGCAACTGGACTACAAACATGTGATGTAACAATAACACAACACGCGGCCAACTGGACCAAGCTTCTGTAGGTTATAACTGCACAATGCACAGCCAACTGGACCACAAACATGAGATTACAATAACACAACATAAGGCCAATTGGACTGCAAGCTCATAAGGTTACAAGATTGCAACACAGAGACTAGAGAGACCAGATTACAAAGACAGAACTTATTTCCAACTACATTCTCCTTCCAAAACGTCACCACCTGCTTGGTAACTCATTTACAATTACTTACAATTTCAAGACTTTGTCCTTGCTTCCACTGACAACCCTGAGCCCATCAGGTGACCAATCGACAGCAAACACCTCATCTGCATGGCCAGGCAGATCTACTTCCAACTTGAATGTCTTCATGTTCCACACTGCAGCACAAACATACAGTGTCTCAGATGAAAATATCTGGCACTTGCAGCCAGTCCCCAGTCAGCTCACTGGGACCAACACAGTCTTGTCACTAGTAACACTGGCAAACGTAGGCTCAGAGGCCCTGTATTAAACGTTTTGAATGATAACATGAAACCAAACAAGTCAATTTTGCAGTACTGCATTAAACTTGTATTCATGAGGTGCTACGTTCAAACCTGGCCAGGACACTTGTGATGCTGACTTTGGTTTTCATGATTTTCCTTAGCCCTTCCAAGAAAATGGAGGGGTAGCACCACAGTTAGGCCACAAGCTTTTACTTCCAAATCCTCTTCAAGTCCTTATTCGTCCATCAATCCATCATCCTACCCTCCAATGTTATATTCTCTTGATACTGAAAGCGCCGTTGAATAACTAGCTTAACACAAACTTCTACCATACCAAAAATCCCCTGCAAGAATAAACCAAGACAAAGCTAAAACGTTGGTGAGGGAAAATAGTGAGACTTACAGGAAGTTCTCATTCAAGTGGGTAAAACGCCTGCTTTATATTCAGGAGGTCCTAAAGACAGGACACTCAGGTATTCCATGGTTTTCCTGCATCACTCCTGGCACATGCCACGACTACTACCTCCCACTTCCATCTCATCCTACAGTCTTGGCTACTGACAGCCAATAAATAAACTACATATAATCAGACTGGAGGTTCTCAGCCCTAGCTCTACCCTGTATGACACCTGTGGTCAAACCAATGTCTGCAGTTTGTAGGATGAGTCACATAGGAAGTTTGGAATCATGTCTCTGAAACTGTTTCAAACCTACAGCTCTGCACACCACACAGTTACAGTGATCTGTCACATGAGTTCCAGCATACTGGGGGCTCTTATGAACACATCAGCAAATCTACATGTCCTAAAAAATGAAAAGTTTGTTGACTAGCTAAGTCACTATCAGCTTCTGAAAAAGGGCTCTTGTCTGGGGAACTCATTAGTTCCTGCATTCTGCTCTCATAACTGACTTACAACTGAGTTAACTCCTTCTTGAGAAGATGACAATCCCCGTAAATTCAGTGATGAAGATTCCTTGCATGAAGCCCAGCGACTCACTGTGGTGTTCAAACAAGCCTGCCACTGGCTCCTGCTATGAAACCTTCAGATCCTATTGTCCTAAGCAGCAACTTCATGCTAAAGAATGCTTTGTTCTTGGATATCAAGCCAAGTAATCTTATGCAAATCCATTGACAATTCAGAGAAACATACTGCCTCCATCTTCAGGGTCAAGTAGCATGATGGGCAAGGCAGTAGCAGGTAGAATATTTCGCACAGTGGGGGGTGGAGTCCGGCTTGGTCCACATGGCACGTCGGCCACTGATTGGCCTATTGTACCTGCCCCGGGTGATTATGATAATGAAGAATTTGGTGAAATGAAGATTGGCAGGGGAACCAAAGTACTCGGAGAAAACCTGCCAAAGCGCCACTTTGTCCACCACAAATCCCACTTGACCAGACCTGGGATCGAACCCGGGCCGCCGCAGTGGGAAGCCAGCGACTAACTGCTTGAGCTATGGCACGGCCAGCATGCAGAGTAAATGTTTACTCAGCTAACTCATTGGCACCGAACATGGATGCAGTTACATTCCTCCACAACACTGGTGAACTTCTACAAAACTATAGCGTGCCACATCCCAGAAGGCAGTAATCTTCACACTTGCCAGTGTGAGAACCTCACTTCACAGCTCAATGCCATTCTTCCACCTACACCTTCATCTTCCATGCAGCATCTTCGTTTCGGGATTTTCCACTGAACTTCTGCATCCATATCTGATAGACCCTGTGTGTGCTACACATTCTGCCCATCTCACTGTGAATTCTACCAAGAGGAACTTTTTGAAGAGGAACATGGATTTTCTTTGGCCAACACCCACCTATTAAACAAAATATTTTTGAATGGAATACTTACTTACTCACTCATGGAGCTGAGCCCTTCTGGAGGAGCCACCAATTCTGCAGCTACTCAAGAATTTCTCAGCATTTTATGGAACCCAAAGGTTCATTACCATGTTCACAAGAGTCCTCCACTGGTCCCTATACTGAGCCAGATCAGTCCAATCCATACCATCCCATCTTCTCTCTCTCTCTCTAAGATCCACTTTAATATTGTCCACCCACTTACACCTCGATCTTCCCAGTGGTCTCTTTCCTTCTGGCTTACCCACCAATATCCTATATGCATTCCTCCTCTTCCCCACTTGAGCTACATGCCCTGCCCATCACATCCTCCTTGACTTGATCATTCTAATTATACTTTGAGTAGAGTACAAGTTATGAAGCTCCTCATTATGCAGTTTTCTCTAACTTTCTATCATTTCACCTCTCTTCAGTCCAAATATTCTCAACACCCTGTTCTCAAACACCCTCAGTCTATGTTCCTCCCTTAATGCCAGAGACCAAGTTTCACACCCATGTAGAACCACAGGCAAAATTATAGTTTTGTATATTCTAATTTTTATGTTTTTGGACAGAAGACGGAAGACAAAAGGTTCTGGACTGTATGGTAGCAAGCATTACCCGAGTTCAATCCCCTCTTAATTTCCTCCTGAATCAAGTTTCAATCTGTTGTCACTTTTCCCAAAAATCCAAATTGTGCCACATTTTCAAAAAATTTGTATTCTTTTTTTTTTTGAATGGAATAAGAGTCAAATTTAGTGAACAGTTACAGCCCCATGATTTTTAAAATTAATATAATATAAAGTCTTCACCATGCAAATCACATTTATTTGTGCTTAGGTACTTGACCTTGAAGATGGAGACAGGCACTTGCAATTCTTTTCGCAGACCATATGCTTGGGAAGTTCTGATCTAGAGAAGTACTAATATTATTTTTCAATAAGATTTCCCACTGTGGAGGGAGTATTCCCTTGTCATCAGATGAACACAGCAACATGTTCCTTATGTACAATCAGACCGACACATATTTACCTTTCAGAGTGGAGTCGGCACTTCCACTGACAAGAAGCCTGGAGTCAGGAGACCATGCAATCTGGTACACTGCCTGCACATGGCCCCTCAGGGATGTAATGAACCTGAAAGTAAAATGTGAACCCAAACATGGCTGAACAACAAAAATTATTCTGTCTGAAACATCTCTGACAAGCTGACTTAAATGTTGCATCATCGTCGTCGTCATCATCAAAAAGCTACTGCATTCCATTTTCAACACATGATGGGAAATAAAATAAGAGATGCTGCTGAATGCTCAGACGTCTCTTTCACAGCGCGGCCTACTCAAAGTGTGATGTACCCTCAGAGATCTTTCAGACACAGTATATGCCATACGAGTTACAAAGGCAGACTCTGCTACATAACGCACTTCCAAATGTTTATGCCATGATCTACATTAAAATGCAGAGTGTTCGCCAGGTTGTGAAGTGGACAGATGAACTGTGCTCATGATACATAAGCTAGTAAATTAATTCTGGGGAAGGCCTGCCCATTTACTGCCTGCTCTGCTGTGACGTCCATCTGTGTTCAACCATTAACCTCGACACATTATTCATACATGCTCATTAGCAGATGAGAGTTATGTTTCCCTCTTCAGTGACATGCCACTACCATAACTGGACATACCCCAATATCAAAGTTCATAGGTGTCAGTTTGCCATTCAGCCAGAAGCATAAATTTTGCTCCTGTAACACTCCTTGCAGTTAAGTTATTGGCAACACGTCAAAGAGCAGTGTGACCAATTGGCAACTTGTCTACCATCTGAAGGCATAAAATGAAAACTAGTTTCTGCATTATGGGCAAGTTATACCATTATGTAGAGGATGACACATTACGACAAGTGTATCTGTTGCACTGTTTGGATAGGAAACTTAGCCTCTCTCTCTCTAACAGAATGCCACAGATATAAGATATTTTTAACAGGGTCCTGTGGAGGATACGTGGAAGTGATGTGGACAGAGATCATACGAGGAACATCAACTTCACATTCTTCATAAAACATAATTAGGGCAAAAGAATCGAGGTGCATAAGATGGGTGGGACACATAGAACACATGGAAGAGATGAGAAATACAAAAAAAAAAAATGTTAGTCAAAATCCAGAAGGGTACAGATAGATGACCTGAGATATCTAGGTGTAGATGAAAGAGTGTTATTAAAATAAGTCTTAAAGAACGAGGTGTGAACTGAACGTAACTGGCTCCAGAGAGTGCTGTCATGAAATTCAACTATTCACACTTCAAATCTTCATACAAATGCTACACAAGAAAAATAGCCTGCACAACTACGAAATCAGTACTGATCACCACAAATGATGTGACATGCTGCACTAAACTTACCTCCCTGTGCGGCCATCCCACAGTTTTATAGATCTGTCAAAGGAGGCTGACGCTATCAATCGGGTGTCAACTGAAAACTTCACATCATTTACAAGCTGCTGGTGTCCTGTCATTCTTGCTGGAAAGAATAAAAGATACAGTTCAACACAGGAATCTGGAAATCAAAACCATGTTTATAACATGGTGAGAGTGTAAACCTTCCAAGTTATATATGACAACTTCAGCAATGCCAGAACCTGTCCTTAAGTGTACATTCTCTCCACAAAGATGAATATGGTTCACTTACGGTTTATTTAATGAACCTGACAATAACTCAGATTACACAGCACTAAATGACAAAAGGGTCTGTAAGTAATAAATTATAAAGGATTTGGAAGGAAGCTGTTGCAGTATATTTTGTGGTACTATCCCATCAGTTTCCTGGAGAGGGACTTAGGAATCCACAATGACCTCCCATTATAACAGCTGTTACAGTCTTCACTAGCCGCTGCTTAGTAACAGCTTCCAATACCAAATTTCTCTTTCCTCTGGGTTCCCAAACTGTCCTCAGCCTCAGCTACCAACTTCTAACAGCAACAGTTCACAAAAGCAGTTATCTAACTAACTCACCAACCAACTCAATAAATGACTGACTGACTTAACTCCTCACTAACTGTCCTGTTTATAACATTTTGGTATGGACCACGTAAAAAATACCATTTCTCTGTTTCAGTACAACTGTTGCTTAGTGGTGGCATGATGTATTCCATTGTTGCATACACAGTCATTGACATGGACCACACAGAAAACACTATTCCGTTTACAAGCCATTACTTAGCAACGGCTGCTATATAGTTGCTTATTTCTTGATCACTGCCTAGAAACAGTCTACATGCCACAATATTATAATGATGATGACAATATTGTGGGTAGCCTACAACTGCATGCAATAAAACCCTGACTCCAGGAGGGTTTGATGCTATTCAGCATGCTAACCCATCAGTGACATTGCATTTGGTTACTGAAACACAAATTTATATTACCAACACACAATATTAACACAGACTTCTAGGATTCAAACGGGATTTACCTAATGGGCTGGTATAGTAGTAATGCTCCAGACTTGTATTTGGGAGGTGCCTGGTTCAAATCTTGGATGGAACACTAGTTATCCTGATTGAGATTTCTTCAAGATTCTCCTCAGTCACTCCAAGCAAATGCCAGGAAAGTGGCTCAATTAGGTCACAACAGCTTCCTTCCAAACTCTTTTCACTTCATCATCCTATCATTCAATGCTATATTGTCCAGCTATCAATACCAAAAAATGCCCCACTCCCTTCCAAGAAATAAAAGATAATTAAAATATATCTGAATGTAGAAAGTGTCTAGGTAAAAACAATGCTGAATAATCTAAAAGCCATTACAAATTCTGTTTGGAGCTCATTAAATAGGTTTATTGCTGTCTATTGACTCAAGACATGGAGAGACCTGCCCACCTTGGCAAGGGCACAGAATCATTTCTGTGGGGGGCACCCATAGGGCAGATTCTGTTATCCCCAGTAATAAGGATGTTCATGAGAGTGAAGACAGGCAGAGGGGACCTACAGCTTAATGCAAGCTGAGTTCCCCAAGCAAGGCACAATGATCTTCCTATTCCAGCTTACATTTACTAGAAGATTTCAGCCTGCACACAGCTTAGACCAGGGATGAAAACCCAAGCCCTGTGCCTCTGAACATCTCACATGCTCCATCTCATGCTGTGTTACCAGCCTGGCACCTAATGTCAAATGAAGTTCACCGTAGCAAAGCAGTCTAATCAATGTTCTATCCTGGCACTTTCAGGGATGGATAAGGGAATTCCACAAGTCTCCACTGAGATTCAAACTGAGAACCTCCTAAATACAACTCTAGGGCATTATCGATAGACCAACCCACTCATTGATTTCAAACTAAACTGACAATATCCTGTGCAGACAGCAGAACCAAGTGCTTTCAGAAATGCATTTAGTGCAAAATCATGGGTGCTCAATACTCCTCAACCTGCTGTTTACTTGCTCTCAGAATCATGGCATCCATGTTAAATGCAATTCTCTGTCTCAGCGAAGTGCACACGAAAGATGACAACGAGGGGCTCCTACCTACAGGTCTCTTGTCCCTCTCTGGTTGCCAAAGGAAGAGTGTGAAGTCATCAGACCCCGATACTAGTCGCTCCTCTCCCCGACCACAAACTGCTTCATACCGCTTCAGTGCCTGTAGCTGCAACTCTCTTTCTGTTACATGAAAGGACACACAAATACAATCTCTCTCCTCATTCTAATGTAAACAGAATCTGCCATTATGAGGTCTGATTAAAAAACACAATGAATGAGCATGCCTGGTTGTAACTAGCACAAGACAGTGGAAGCTAGCGTGTTGTGCATGATCCTCCCATCCCTGCAGGTTTGTCTAACAAGTTTCAACTCACTTTGTTCACCATGTCACTAGTTACTGGGAGTGCAATGCTTATACATCTGACATCTTTGTTGTAAGACATGGAGAGCAGTGAAATCAAACAAAGAACAAACATGTAATTTTGTTTTCAAATGGGCAGGACAACTACAGAAACCCATGAAATGCTTATCAGACATCATGGAGATGCTACTGGCAGTCGAGAGACGGTATACAAATAGTTTTAACGTTTTCATGTTAGTATTGAATTGAGTGAAGACTAACAACTCTCATGTCATCCATCGGCATCAGCAACAGATGAAAACATGTCAAAAATCAATTAAATGATTCAAGCAAACAGAAGATTAAGATTTCAAGATATACCGCATGCTCTGAACGTTTCATTTGACTCAGTGCAACTTGTATTCACGAAAAACTTGAATATGAGATGAGTGACAGCAAAGTTTGTTCCATGCCTTTGTCACAAGAACAGAAAGGATTCTGCCTGTCAATAGTGTTAGAGTTGTGTAACCACAAATTCAGATTCAGGTTTTTTTACAAAGTCTGATCGCTGGAGACAAATTTGGGGTACATGGTTATGATCCTAAAATGAAAATGTAGAGTTCTCGCTGGATAACACTGGACTTACCATGAGCAAAAAAAGTGCATCAATTGAAATTAAATGTGAGAGTCATGTTGATCATTTCCTTTGATACCGACAGAACTGCTTGGCCTGAGTTCGTGCCTCAAGGTACCATCATGAACTTGCATACTACAAAACTCTGTTAGAAAGCCTATGAAACATGTGAAGAAAACAGCAGGAAAAGTGGAAGAACGGATTTGTACTGCATCATCTAGTCATTCACTGTTTTTGGCTAATAAAAAAAAATTACTGCGTGTGATTTCCGGCTATTCCCAGAAATTAAATTTACAATGAAAGAAAACTGTTTTGACACAATTCCAGAGATCAAAGCTACAAGGAAAGAGCATTTGAGAGCATTAACGAAAGATCATTTCCAGAGGATACGTGTATCTGAGGCTTAATGCACTGCCACACGGAGAATCAGTGTCCTACATATGGCCACTGAAGAAACTGCCAATTGTGCCCAGTGAGATATGCACACAGTTTCCATGACTCAACCCCCATTTCAACTCAGTTATATTCTTGTCTCTTGTACTCACTGTTCATTCAGATGGTGCACAAACAGTCAGGAATGTGACCACCACACATGAGGACAGGCACCCACATCCTTAATGCCAGAACATGTAACATAATGTTACACAACATGTGCTGACTATACAACCACCTGCGGTGACTTTTCTGTATACTGTACTCTGCCCTTGAGACTGTGGCAGGTTTCTCTGAAATGTCGGTACCCACCTACCAGACTACAGAGTATCTAGCCTTGGACACCATCGCACAAATCTTCACCACTGTGTACACCTCCACACGCTATTTTATATTCATGAACACTCACTACAGGCAGCTCATTTCAAACTAAGATTCTAAACATAGAGCTCATGAACATGAAATACAAGCACAAGTACCTGCTCTTCCTGGCTCAGGATATGGCTGTTCCAGCACTATATGGCAAAGTTACATCTTTATTATAGGATTCTGACGATGGTGTATAACACACTGATATATTGGGTTTCTGGACTTTATCCATCGTCCTAGTTTTTAAGATAACATCTTAAACATCTTAAAAACTAGGACGATGGATAAAGTCCAGAAACCCAATATATCAGTGTTACATCTTTATATCCTGAGCATTATACTGTAAGGCTTAATGTGAGGCCTTCATTTGGATTGATGTTTTATGTAAGCATACAATATACACTACAATATACTCACTCTTACTATGATCAACATGCAGACCAGCGACAGGATCTGATGGTCCAGTTCGCAGAATGTAGTCTGTGCTCAAGGCCAAAGTATTCACCCAGTGGGCATGTCCTTCCAGACTTCGACACAGCGCTCCCTAAACACCAATTACTGTTAGTCTAAAACATCTCTGCAGGTATATCATACCTTAAGTAGGCAATCTGGTGGCAAGAAAAGAGATCCCTGGAATGATGATTCTGATTCTAATTATAAGCTGGAAATAGAATCTAATAACTTCCTAATGATGATGTAATAATTCAATAATTCATGGCATTATCTGATGATGACGATGATGATGATAATAATGCAACTTTAAAGATGTTTTAGACATAGATTATTTTCAGTATGCAGGTTGCATAACCTCTGCACTGCATTCATATGCAAACAGCTGCATCAGTGTTCAGTCCTCTGCACTAAATTCATATGCAAACAGCTGCAGCAGTGTTCAGTCCTCTGCACTACAATCATATGGAAACAGCTGCATCAGTGTTGAGTCCTCTGCACCACAACTGTATGCAAACAGCTGCAACAGTGTTCAGTCCTCTGCACTACAATCATATGCAAACAGCTGCATCAGTGTTGAGTCCTCTGCACCACAATCATATGCAAACAGCTGCATCAGTGTTCAGTCCTCAGCACTACAACCATATGCAAACAGCTGCATCAGTGTTCAGCCATTAGGCACAAAAAAAAAGCATACAAACTAAATGAAAGGGTAACAAATAACAGTGTTTTATAAGCAACACAACATAGTTCAAGATGATGGGATGGGCAGTTAGCTCCAAACATTTCAAAGGATTAAAACATACCAGATATTTCTGAGTCATTCCATTTCTGGAATTCCTGTAATTATAATATTTTCAAATTAATGTCATGTTATGATTTCCAGAAGACATGTCCACTTGGTGTCTGGGATTTGTCAAGCTTTGAACGAACAATAAGAGAATAATGCACATACATAACAAAACTTCACTAGTTCACAGTTTACATTTAACAGTCATATTGGCTGAAGGAATTATAAATAACATATTTTTAACATCCATGCTCAAACCATTGTTGCAATAAGCTCAAATACTTTAAGCATTTCTTCAGAAAAACTAAAAAGAGCATTTATGTTCCATTGTAAAATTACTCATATGTACATATCCTTATACATTCAGATGGGAGAAGGCTTCATTAAAATACTGTGGCATGCTGCCTAAAAGCCAGAATAGTGGGCGTCCACTGCTAGACAACAGCTGTTAAAATACGTTTCTGAGACGGTGCATACAGAGACGTCAATTGCTAGACAACGACTCAGGAACAGTGAATACCTCACTGCCTACGTGGCAACTGTAAACATGTTAAAGCTATAAAGCATACAATGGCAGACATTAACATAAGAATGAAGGCCAGAGTTACTGCAGTTTTCACTGCAATGAGTACCCTTCAAGGTGTCTTCTACTCCATCCAACTGTGGAAGATAAGAGACCAAATCAGAATTAAGACCAGAGAGAACACTGGATAAGTGGTCAGATCAGGTCACATCATCTGCAAGATGGCATTTCAGAGTGATTGTAAAGATTGTAATTGTAAGCGAGTTGCCCAATAAAAAGCCTTGTCTAATCCGGCAACCCAATAATTATTTGTGTTGGACCCTGGACACGTGACAATATCAATACTACAAAACTTTGCTAATCCTTGCATGTGTTTGGAAGACTGTTGCTGATTGTTGACAGTACAAATTTCTCTACTTCATGTTTAATTATTTCATGTGAACTATCCTTTAGCTTTATTGATTTTTAACCTAAATCTGAAAGTGCCTAGAAAATCCAGTAGAAATATCACATTTCATGAAAGTCTGTTCAGTGATTTTTGAGGAAACACCATGCTGTGGTAACAAGTGACCCAATTAGCAAGTCCCAATTAGCAAGTCTTACATCATCTGCTCTCCACACTTTGACAGTACAGTCCTGTGAGCTGGTATATAAAAGGCCAGATCCACCCCACTTGACACATGTGACAGCTTTAGAATGACCTGCCAGTGTCAACAGCGTCTGCCCCAGCACCACATCCCATATCCTGATGTCACCATCTTTAGAGCCACTCGCCACTCGTCGGCATTCAGGGTTGCTAGAAATAAAAAAAAAATATACATTTAAAAATGTAAAGATTAAAATACAAAAAAGTATAAATTTGTGCAAGTCTTGTATGGGCATGAAACCTGATGTTTCATAACTGATACTGACAGAACGGTGTGCTGAGGAGAATATCTGAACCTAAGAGGGATGAAACAATAGGAGGCTAGAGACAACTGCATATGAGGAACTTCATAACTTGTACTCTGCACAAAATATTATTAGAATGTTCAAGTCAAGGAGGATGAGATTGGCAGGGCATGTAGCATACATGGGAGAAGTGTGGCTCCAGAGTTTTGATACAAAAACCTGACATCACTAGAAGACCTACGAATAGATGGTAGGATAATATTCACATGGCTCTTAGAGAAACAGGATTGGGGGGGAGGCGCACTGTATTCGCCTGGCTAAGGGCAGGGACCAGTTCAACACTGTTGTGAATACAGCGATGAACCTTCAGGTTCCATAAAATGCTGGGAATTTTTTGAGTGGCAGGGCAACTGTTGGCATTTCAGGAAGGACTCAGCTCTGTTGAGTTAGTTACATGCTGGTATACATTCATAAGTCTGTCCCATAGCTCATAAATATGTTAAATTGTCAGGAAGAATTATCTATGTCAATATTATTTATGCTTCTGTTTGCATCGAGGGAAGGAAGCTGTAAGGGGTCAGGTGATGACAGTAAGTGGCAGTGAAACAGTCTATATGTCAAACAGCTCACAGCGCTTGTCACTCGTGATGTTGTTCGCTACCAATACACACATCAGGAAAAGGAGGGTCAGGTGACAGCAGGGGAACAGCTCAATGCAAATATGGAGGGACTCTGTCTATGATCTATTTCCAGTGCTTCAGTATATTTTTATATACATGAGTTACTTCAAAAGTCATGGTAACTAATTTTCTTGGGCAAACATGTTACAGTGAAGAAAGTTCAAAATATACTTATGAAAGGGCATGATATACCCCTCCGATTGGCTTAGTTAGATCAGGCAGACGTGAAGGGGTGTAGGTATAGTAGGCAAGAAAAATTGCACACTACGGAATGACTTTCTTTTTCATGCTTGTGTATGGGTGTAGGTCTTTTCGTAAAATTTGATGCACAGTTGCCTGGTCAATCCCTGTATGTCTCTCTAACTCCTTCGGAGACCAGCGCATATTTCCTCCACGCACTGGGCGATCACGGCACGAGAAACATTGGTACGAACGGACACAGGGTGCCCACTACGTTGCAAGTCGGCACTTGCTTCTCTTCCACTTTAGAATGCTTCTGTCCACCTTGCAACAGTTCTGTATGGTAGAGCACGATCACCCAGAGCTTCCATAAGCTCTGAGTGACATTCAGTTGCATTTCTGATGCAAAGCACTGCTATTTTCATGTAACAACGCTGTTCCAGCCAGCTAACGTTCATTCTCGATGAAGGTTATGATCACACTGACTTTGCACTGGACTCGCTTCATTGTCCTTGGACATCTGCATCATCTAGCGGCATCATTAGAAATCAGACGTTGCTGTCTCTCAGCAGCAAATTTGGAAATTCCGGTCAGAACTTTCAAAATTTCAGAAAAATTATGTTCCTATGACTTTTGAAGTAACCCATGTATATCAGTACATATGGCCATGTGGTGTTAAGTGACTAGACACAGGATTTGGATAGGCAATGGGATTTACTGAACACTTATAACTTCTAAAGACAAATAACTACAGTAAACTCTCACTAATCCAAAGCAATTAGGGGGTGAGGACATCTGGATTAAGCAATAATCCATTTTAGTGAAGCAAAAGGTGGCTCTTAAAGAAAAAATAAGAGAACACAAATAAATGTAATGATGTAAGCAGTGTTGATGAAAGTAAATAAAAATTATCACTGTAGAGCCTTTATTTAAAGAGTATAAAAGGACAATATATTTATTCATCAACAGAAGACTTTCTGAATATAATAATGCAGGTTTGAAGAATTTGTCAAGTTTTGTCTGAATAGACAAGTGATTCATCTCCCTCTCTAAAGGCCATATGTCTCTTAAGTATGTACTTCAACTATGAGCAGCATTTTTCATATTTCAATCCAATTAATTGAGATTAGATTAGTGAGGGTTTACTTTATAACAGTCTCACCAATTTACACATTCTGTACATGACAACAACTACAGCACACATAAAGTCTTTTGTCCATTAGGCATTGCTAGGTAGCACCTGCTAACAGCATCTTCTGCTTCTATGCTCATGTCCTTATAGGCTGGAAACTGTCTCACAACTCATTCAACTGCAATTCTCAACCCAGGTCTGACTTTCCACCGCAACTCTCCCACAACTAACTGCTCCAACTCTGTTCTCCCTACAAAATTTCAGCACAGATATTATAGAGAACGCCACTTTCAACAGTTCTTCTATGGCTGTGGCAGCCAGTGTCTAGCAATGGGCCATGTACTGTTACGTGCTTACCAGCTACTGCCTAGCAATGTCATGTCACAATACTGTAACTCATGATTGAATGACAGTCTCTTAATTCCTGAAACAGTTCTCACCGAATGAAGTCTGCAACGAAACTTATCTTCAGAACTTTGCATGCAAGTTGACTCTGCACTTGCAGGACACTCACCTGTGATATGGTTCCCAGCTGAGTGCTGTGACCCATTTCTTGTGCCCCAACATGGTCCGCCCCACTTGTAACCCAGTGTCTGGATCCCATACAATAATGTGGCCATTTTTGCACCCTGAAGCCACGTATTTGCTGTCGGGTGACCAAGCAAGGCAGAGCACCCAGTGTTTGTGACCTGCAAGTACAACCATTCTATCTCCTGGATTCCTCTTTCTCGAGAACAGTATGTTCACAGTTGTGATGCCATCATGCATGCCACAAAGTAGACAGTAAAAGTGAGGGGGGAAGGATGACAGAAGAACAACTTTCCAGGTGTTCAGAGTTACATGACCAATTTCATTTTTGTGGTTTACTTGATGATGCTCTCGGTACTGAGACTATACACTGTTGAATGGTAGGATGACAACAGACAAATGATGAATTGGAAATCATCTTGAAGTGGTAGTGGCCTAATCATAGTATTGTCCTGACACCTGCCTGGAGAGACTGAGGAGAACTATGATAAGCCGGTGCCCCAGCCAAGATTCGAACTGAAAACCTCCAAAATACAAGTCTAGAACACCACAATTAATTAACAAACCAATTAACTAGCGCTATGCGGTAGATTCCTTTTTAAGAAGCTAACAGTCACTTGGATAATCAAGAAATGTGTTCCTTCAGAACACTGATAACTCTCTACCAGACTACATGGCATCAGATTCTAGAAGACATTATTATTAACATTAATCACTGTGAGAATGTCAGATCTCCTGCAGGACAACTGACGCTTTGTAGGATGTGAGGTCATCACAGCCGTGGTTCTGAAAAGTGTAGCACTGTGTAGTCCATTGAAACTAATGGATTACGCAGCATGATATCCCAGAATACACAGCGCTTTACCAGTTGCTTTATTCAATATCTAGCTAATTTGAAATGTGTTTTTCTTTTCATCTTACCATGACACGTGTGAACTGGCGTCTGCGTCAAGACATCCCAGAACCTGACAGTGGTGTCACCTGAACCACTGGCTAGATGGCGGCCATCAGGACTGAAACTTGCTGATACCACAGCTTCTGAGTGTCCTGGCAAAGAACTGAAATCAATGTTCATTACATCCCGCACTGTTCAACCATACGTCTGCCTGTACACCAGGTACTTCAACACACGTATGGAAGACTGACAGAATAACTGCTTGTACAAGTATTTTAAAGAGGTACAAGAACTACTGTCCTTTGGTTTTTACAACTTGTGTCTAATGCATAACTTGGGCTTTCACAGTTAACCACATCATTAACAGGAGACGTTCCAACATTTTGGCAGTCGGTACCCCACATTCAAGAACAGCAAATGTTAGCCTCATGCTCCAACCTCCCCCCCCCCACTTCCCTGCAGGGCTCATCTTACCCTGGATGTGGGGACTGAAATGTAAGCTGAAATGCTGAACTGCTATGTGTTCCTGCCTAAAGGCTACATTACAAACCTGGCTGTTTTACTGGACTCTGAAATGTCTGAAATGTCATCGGGGATCTTTTCCATTCCTGCTATCCTGTACTAAAAAATTCACAAATAAATTATTTAATGAGGAATAAATTTCAATCTCATCCCTCCACAAACATTTTCTTTGACCAACTCATAATCAATGAGCACAGTTACTCACATGCAATAGACAGAAGTTTGTGACAGTCCAAACCTTTTAAAACTCTTCAATGGACGCTATGTTCCTCTTTAGCCATTTCAATAGAGTGACTGATTTACTGGGGAGACCGATGTATTAGCTTGTAATGACTTGCTTTTCGTATTTGGACAGGAACAACTGCCTTGTTTTGTTACCTGCAGCTTGGGTGGCCGCAAAGGGGATGCCGCGATCACAAAAGGCAAGTCTGTAGTTTGTCGAAGATGTAAATTTTGTTTTGCTGATAGGGTAGCTGTTATAAAAGTGTCTTTGGAAGGGTGTAATTGGAACATAAACTAAGAAATAACCGCTTTCACATGTGGGGTTCCGGATTCAATAACTTTGGATCTCTTTATTCTCAAAGTTAGTAATGTGACTGTCTAGTGCTGATGGTATGACGAATTGGCAGTTAAAATCAGCCAATAGGAAACTATTCTTGTCTGGAAGAAAGGCCGTCGGTTCAAATTCTATACAGGGGATGAAGCGGCGCTCCCGCAGGATAGAGTGGGCAGAAGGACTTGGCGTTTAGAATTCATCAGAGGCAGACGTCATTGGGCTGCACTCTCCAAGTTTATCTAAATTTAACACTCTTTATTTGGTTCAATTAATCTTTGATAATAATAAAAAGGGCACATTACTCCGTACTTGCCAGTAAAGTTATAGTGTTTGCTTCTGAAATAAACAATTTGTGTAGAGCAGAAATAGTGTCTTTGATTTCTAGCAGTGGACTAGCTTTAAATGTGCGGTTTCCCCGTTGCCTCAGTTATTACCGTGACATGGTCCTGAGAAGAGTCAAGTGTTCTACCGAAGCGGGCAAATAAATAAGTTCAAAGATAAAAAGGGGACGGTCACAAGAAGTGGCGCCCAATGGTTACAGGAAGTAGCAGCCAATGTGAGCGGTTACAAGTTGGAATCCAAATGTAGTTGTGATGCTATGAAATTACAAAGGTAGCCATGGCTTATTTCTTATTGAAAACCGTCACAACACATCATCAATGACACTTTTAAGCAGCTCCAGAAGATACCTTTGCTACATGCTTCAGCCTTCAATAAAGCCATCATCAGGCAAATACATTAAACCTTTCGTTATTGAACTGAATGTTAAATATAAGTCACGGTGCTAAACTTCCAAGTACAATGGTATTAAATGATATATTAGTGAATACAAATATAAATTACAATAAAAGTTAAAATCTTAATTCATCAGTTACACAATCAAAAGTATAGTTAAAAACTGTATATGCGATGGTACTTGGAAGTTGGTAGTTGCAATCATAATACATGTAATACTTATACGGACATATTATACAATAGCTGACATCGTGCTTGGAGGCCCATTGTTATGTTGTGTGTTATTGCTTAATATTTTATATTATTTGACGGACGACTCCATTGTGTAAATGTCCGATTTGATGGAGAGATAGTTGTAATCTAAGTATTACACGCATTAGAATTGCAACTACCAACTTCCAAGTACCATTGTATATACAGTTTTTAACTATACTTTTGACTGTGTAACTGATCAATTAAGAATTTGATTTGTTTCATTCTGGTCCATCACACTAACAAATTACAAAGACAAAACAACTCTGTCCAGTGTGACTATTGAAGTTTTTACTACTTGAAAACTTAACACCCTTACATGTTTCAGTCCCTATAGACCAGCTCTGTCCAACGCGGCGCCCGTGGTATATTTTTCTGGCGCCCTCCATAACCACATATAATACAGCCGATTTTTAATATTAATTCAAATTGTAAGACAAGAGACATTTTTGAACGTCTGAGTACTGTTAAATATTTTCGAAAAATTTTATTATTATTATTATTATTACTGTTTTTTAGTAGTAGTAGTAGTAGTGTGTGGTGGCGCCTGCACCTCCATAGGCATCAGTGAATTGTGCCCTAGTACATAAGAACGTTGGACAGCACTGCTATTGACCATCATCAGAGGGACATCGATACTTTTTGGGAAACTACTATCACAATGTGTGTTTTGAGTGTTAAAATACATATACATACAATATTTGTAATGCACAATATATACAAAATCCAACTTTTCCACAACTAAAGCAGCCTTCTTGGTATATTAAAGTTTTTAAAACTTTGTTATTTAAGTTAAAATTTATAAACCAAGTAGGTTCGTGTCCCTTCTCCTATCGTCTTCCTTGACGGGGGCTGAACTTGTGCCGCCTGTCTATCCTGAGAAGGAGATTCTTGGTATCGTCCTGTGTTGTTCGTGGCATGGCACATTTAAAAAATGGCCGAACATCAATTGACAATGACGATCGTTCGGGACAGCCGTCAACTGGCACCACACCAGAAAAATGTCACGAAAGTTAGGGGCCTGATTCTGCAAGATCATAGACTGACCATCCAAGGTCTCTGTAATACCTTGGGAGTTATGGTACATGTCAATGAATTTTGTCAGAGGAACTGAACATGGGGAGGATTGCGGCGAAGTTTGTGCCATGACTGCTGCAAAATGAACAGACACAGCATCGCTTGGAAGTCTGCAGGGAACTTCAACAACAGCTTCAAGAGGATATAAACTATCTTTTGAAGGTAAGCACAATAGACCACTGTAGGTCGCGGTGCATGGGCCAAGAAGGCCTACCCCTCATACATTCATTCATACATTCTTTCGAAGGTTGTCACTGGTGATGAAAGTTGGGTTTATGGCTACAACCCTGAAGGTAAGCAGCAATCATCGCAATGGAAGAGCCCTTCTTCACGTCAGCCAAAAAAAGATTGACAAGTCAAGAGCATCATTAAGTCCATGTTGATCTGTTTTTTTTGATACTGAGGGGATTGTTCATAAGGAGTTCATCCCTCCTGGTCAGATAGTCAATAAAGAGTTCTATCACAATGTTCTAAGGCGTTTGAGGGAGGACATGTAGAGAAAACGTCCAGAGAAGTGGCACACAAATGACTAGGTACTCCACCATGACAACGCATGACCGCATACGGCTTACACTGTGCAGGAATTTTTGGCTAAAAACAAGATGGCAGTTTTTCCCCACCCACCGTACTCGCCAGACTTAGCTCCATGCGACTTCTTTCTCTTCCCCAAGATGAAAATCAAGTTGAAGGGGCGAAGATTTGATACAGTTGAGGAAATTCAAGAGGAAACACAGACGGTACTAAACACCCTAACAAAGAAAGACTTCCAAGATGCATTTCAAAAGTGGCAGAAACGCTGGAATCGGTGTATGCGCTCCCAAGGGGACTACTTTGAAGGTGATGGTGCAGAATAAGATCCAGGTAAGAAGCAATAGTTTTTATTAATATATTGTGGGAACTTTTGGATAGCACCATGCAATTAACATGCAATTAAAAAAATGAAAGGTTTAACGTATTTGCCTGATGATGGCCTTATTGAAGGCCGAAACATGTAGCAAAGGTATCTTCTAGAGCTGCTTACAAGTGTTATTGATATTGTGTTGGTGACGGTGTTCAGTAAGAAATAATATATGATACACAACAGGATGCATTCATTGAAAAAAAAACAGTATTCATGGCTGTTTAACCCGTTGCCGTGGTTTGATGTGTATGTTTCGTCAGGTATTTAAATCGTCTGGGGGGGTTCGACGTGTATGTTTCGTCCAGCTGCACACCAATGTTATAACGCCCATAATAATTGATGGTTTTGCTGTAGATTGTTAGATTTTTCGCTGGCCTGTTGTCACAAGAACAGAGTATACTAAGCCAACGAGTTTAGCTGAGATAAGTCATCGTTACATATGCCTGTCTTGCAGCAACGTTCCTGTGGCTATTGCGAGCTGTTTCTGTTATTTCTGGCGTATTTTCTTTGCTGTGAAGTTATAAACAGCAGAGACGTGATATGTGCTGTGTCAATAATATCATATTGCCCTGAGCTGGCCACACTAACACACTCAATTGGAATTCTTAGAAGAGGGATGTCCAAAAGTTTATTCTTGCTAGATCGATTGATTTCGCACAGTACATAGGCCCAGTTCTTAGAAAAACGCCACAATTTAAGGCAGGACACTATGGTCACCCCCTATGACGATACTGGTGTGTGTGGGGTGGGAAAAGAACACATTCCTTCATGTATTATCGCTCCAGTTGACGCCATTTTATCGTACTGACCTTGGTGGTCGTTTCGAGGGATGACCATAAATATTTTTTTGAGCCAGCTAAGCTCTACTTTCGTTCACTACATACCAGACAGTTCTTAGAATAACTTCATGAATTCTGTGGTCACCCCTACGACATCTCCTGCCGCCAAAATGGATGGAATATCAAAGGCATAGCAACAACCCCTTGTTATGATAACTCGTAACGTTGAATTTACTGCAGCTGACCTCACTAGCTTTACTGCTCACGGAAGGACATTTCCTTGAACTATACCCCTCATGGGGAAGAGGGCTAGGCCACACAGAAGCTGTGTGGTTAAAAAAAAGAGCAAAAGAAAAGATACTTAATATCGGAGCGATGAATGTGGGGCACCGTTGGGTTACATGAATGCTTCAAGGCCTTCCTTACACTGCTCAAATAGATAACGGGCGCTCATATTATAAGGTAAGGTTATAAAAACCATCTTTTAAGATCATTTTAGTGAAAGTTTCATGCTTCAAGGCGTACCATTCACTGCTCAAATACTAAAAAACCTGCTTCCATTGAAGATATACAGGGCGCTCATATTATAAGGTAAGGTTATAAAACCACCTTTTAAGATCATTTTAGTGAAAGTTTCATGTTCCTATCTCATAGAATTTAAGAACAATGATGAATAAATCATTTTCGAGCAAAATTTAAATGGCCGGCTGAATATATTACCGCAGGAGACGCGGCCGCGGAATTTAAATGACCGCGTCAAAGGGTTAAGTCATATGCAAGCACTACCATAGAGTTTTTAGGTGCGATTAGAATCTGCTTGCCCAACCTCCTTTTTTAATCATGAGTAAATTTTCTTTCCTAATTTGAGTGTTATTCTTTCTTTTAAAGTTTCTGCTGCTGTATACTGTGGTACTGATATGGAAAGCAACCTTATCGTGGTTGAAAAATGGATACTTCTGCTTGTGTTGCTGTAAAATAAATTTCTGTGACCTTACCTTGTACACCGGGTGACAGCACGCACTCGAAACACAGCCTGCTGCTGGTATACAATATCCACTACATTTTCAATGTTTATTTTGTCTTCATCCAGTGCAGCTCCCAAAGTGCTTTTTATCTCCTTTTCATTCACATAGAAGATGTAAGGAACATTCTCATCCTGAAAATCGCATCTTCATGTTCACCTCGGACACTCTTCAAGATATAACTTCTTAACATTTATGGCTTGCATACATCAAACATGAGGTACTTGCCAACCAAAGTGGCTCACAGGGTAACATTTCTGACTTGAATTTAGGCGGTGTCAGATGTAAATCTCTGGCAGGACACCAATTACCGTAAGATTTTTCCTGAGTTTTTCAGTCCTTCCAGGCAAACACTGGGACATTACCTCAAATCAGATCATAAACATTTCTGAATTCTTTCCAATTAATTATTCACCAACAACAGTATGATTTAATGTCACGCAGCTGAAGCTACCGGCAATAAATAAACCACAAACTAACTCAATGGACCTGAGCCCTTTTTGAGAAACTAACAGTTGCTCAGCTACTGTAGAAATTACATAAACTTTATGGAACCCAAATGTTCATTACCATGTTCACAACAGCCCACTGGTGGTCCCAATCCTGGGCCAGATGCCTGGAGTCCATATCCTCCCATCCTGTGTTTAAAGTGGTGCAGAAGCAAAGATGTCCTTCTGCCTAATCAGTTAACGCTTCCGCACCGACATCCGTGTGCTGCACCGACCCTTTAAATAATCGTATGCCACCGACATCGGTGCAGTTCACCGACCTGCGCAGTGTTAGCTCTGAAGGACGTTGCTGACAAAACGAGGAAAGATATTCCAATTTTCTTTTCAGGAGTACATAGATTAAGGTTTCAGCTTTCAATTGGTATATGAGTTATTTATTTTGGACGAATTTTTAGCACGGTATTTTTATTTTATTTCACTAGTGTAATAGTTCGTACTTTCGTCTCATTGCGCCTAGTTTGCATTGAAGTTTTTCAAATTCTAAGTAAGGAAAATGTATAAAACTATATATCTTTCGACTCTATGGTCTTTGCTTGTCTATATGAGTCACTCACTGAAACC